ATAAATGTGTAAAGAAAGATTGAGTAGATTTTATTTTACTTTATACCATATAAAAACCAGCTCTAGCTTTGCAGGACTCTAAGAGAAAGGGACACCTGAGTGCATTGGCTATGATTACAAAACATGATGTACAATTAACAAAATTAACTGTCTGCAACATCTTTGGGAAGTCAGAAAAACAACCTAATATACTAAATATGAGTAAAAAGGAAAATCCTTTAAACTTGATGTGTAGACTTTATCCCACGGTCAGAAAACATCTACAGTAAATCTCCTCCTGAAGAGCAGAGCATCTACGTACCTCTGACTCGGACAAAGCAGCAGCCACATTTGCTGAGCAGTTTTCTGAACAGGTGCTGACACCCACACCCTCGCTGGTGGTGACCCCCTCTCATGATGATCCACTCCTGCTGCTAGACCCAATACTATCAGAAGCAGGCATAGTGCTGGAAGGACACACACATAAGCACATGCACACACACTATTCCTGTGGTAATCCCACGAGGAGATGAGAGGAAAAGTGTTCACAGTGCTCAACAGTCATTGTCCAAATCTGAGTACAAAAACCCTGAGACAAAAATGCTGTTACTATCCCATGATTTGAAGACAAACAGCAGCAGAAAACCAGAGAGGCCGTCCTCTCCTCCACTCCCGAGCCTCTCTGTGTGGTCAGATAGTGGGCAAAGATTATGAGAGGGACCAAAAGTAAGTGAGGGAGCGACAGAGAGGCAGGGAAGGGGAGGAGCTGTGATGAGGGAAGGGATGGTAGCTAACATGCTGCACTGCTGTGCCAGCATCTGTTTCCCCGTCCCACCTCCTCCCGTTTCTCCTTCTTCCCCTTCTGTTCACTCTCCCCTACATCTTCACACCTCCTCATCAGCTTCCCTTCTCTTCTCTCTACAGTCCTGAGCAATGAAACATAAATGGACTTTCCAAGATTTCCATCCGTACAGATTAACTCCCCATTCAATGTTTTGTCATTTTTGGCCATGTTAATGGCATGTCTCTGTAGAAGGCAATCTCGGTTGGTCGGTTGGTCGGTACTCCAACACTTTGATCTCAACAACTACTGGAGGATCACCATGAAATTTAGTAGAAAAACTCATGGTACCCCAAAGAGGAACTTGCTGATCCCTAGAATTTTCACTTCAGGCCATTAGTGGATCAAAGTCTTCATTTATCTATTGAAATATCACAACATCTACTGGATGGGTCAGCACCAAATATTCGTGGTCTCCGAGGGATGAATGCTCTCCTGCCTTTTCCTCCATTCATTTATGTAAACTGTACAGAGATGTCACCAGTTGGCATCAGTTCATTTTAAGGGGTCAGAAACATTGGAACCACTGTTTAAAGTAAAGAGGAAATTCAAAACATCCATGGAAAATTCACTTGACCTCTGCTGCAAATCAGGCGTGTGTGCACAAATATCATTGCAATCCCTCTGCAAGTGTTTCTTGGTGTGTAAGTGACTGTGTAAAGCTTTCAGTAAAACGTAATAAAAACTGCTTCAATGATTCAGTTGTACTGACACTTGCAGATCAACAAAGATGATCGATCATTAAACCGGTCATTAAACCGGGTACCAAAGCATTTCCTCTGCTGTGGACAAACCAACATGTGGAAATATCCAGCAAACAACAAACTGAGCCGGCAGGATAGAAGCAGGCCGATTTAATCTCAAAGCAAAGATTAAGTATTCATGACTAGATGATCTTCTGTGTACAGCTGTCCAGGCTCGTGGCAGCCGGTAGTGTGAGTCAAGGAGATTTATGCATAAACTCATACGAACCCAAACAAGGACAAAGTCAGCAAAGAAGAAGGAAAAACAAATACATAAGAACTTGTCTCCGATACAGCTGCTGTTTCTATGAGACACGCGAATATTACACAGTTCCACGCAGACAGTTACACGGTCATGTCACAAGTTGACCAAAGCCACCCTTGAATCTCAATCCACCGAGGACAGATTACAGCTATTAAAACATCAAAATGCTCTTGCTCTCTTTGCCATCAAGTTAAGCTTTTAAAAACTCTGCTGAAATGATGATCCCTGTGAGCTGAAAAGCACTGATCTCCCCCACAATGTAGGATTATTGTATGTGCATGCATGTGTATGTGAGCGTGCAAATGCCTAATTAGTCAATATCTAATCATCAGGCTAAGGCCATGCGTTGCTTTAAGTATTTTAAATCTTAAAGTCATCTGTGATGTTTTGAGTGCAAAGTGCAACATGTTCAGTCAAATCTCCGATGTGACGACTGCTCTTCTTTTCTGTCAGATAGCTCCCCACTATGGGTGACATAGGAAGTGCACACAGCAGTAAACTACTGTATTTCTCTGTATTCGCCGAAGACATGGGAGCAGCAGATGAACCCACAATGTTACCTTTGCATCCTGCAGCCACGTTGGATTTCCTTGTCCACTTGAACTGTGTCCTGATGTCCTGATTGTTTTCAGTGGACAACAGTTTCTCCCGGCTGGTGTCTGAAATCTTATGCAAAGGACAGATGAGAGTAAGTGGGTGAAGTAATGAATAAAATAAGTTGAAATTTAACATTTAATTGTGGCTCTATTTGTGATGTGTTTGCCCGATAGGTTTAGGGGTAGGTAGAACAGAACAGAAAAAAGAGATGGAGCTAATTATACCACTTGTCTACTCTATTTCACCTTTCTCTCCCCACCCTTCTGTCTTTCCTATTTTTGCTTCAGTTTAAGTGGTTTCTTATCTTATCTGTGGAATTTCTCTGAGAGGACGAAACTGATTGGGAGACAGCACAACATCAAACCCGAGGGTCAAAGAAGACTAATGCTGAAGAATAAGTCAGGCTTCATATCTGGTTACTGCCATACAAAAATGTTATTAAATTACTCAAAGACCTTAATGAAGGCAAGATAGTCGAAAAAGTTTGTGGGATGAATTGACGAAGAATTCTGGAGGTTGTTCAATTCTGATGGATTTGCATCCAAAACCTGAAAAAATGGGAAGCACTTCCAAAAAATGTTTCTATAACAGATTATTTCTATAATAAAAAAAAATCAACCCTATATTATATAACTTAGCTTTAGATTCATATTTACAAGGATAAAAATCTAATTATGTTACTATGCACAACATATGGTACAGATAACCGGATACAACAAAATGTAGCAGGCATAAAACACACAGTATGCATCCTACTCAATTACATTTCACATAATTTCAGAATATATACCCATATGATTATTATGAGCAGCCCATGTTGTTAAGTTTTTAGCAATTATTGCCATCACAACATTTGAACAATGTAGGACTCATGAACCAAAGACACTCACTTTATCAACCCTGTATCCCAGAAGCTGTTCAGTCCTGCCTTGCACTTTGGCCAAAGTCTTCATTTTGCATCCCTTGCTCTTCTGTTCTCCTTGATTTGTCCTAATGTGGTGTCCCTTTTTCTTCACCTTAAGGTCTATAAATTCTGTCTCATTCTTCTCTCCTCATTCAAGCATCTATGCCTGATCCACTGGTTTTTGTTTGATAAAGAGGCAGAAAACAAGTTGAAAAGGCTTCAGAAAAAGATCCCTGCTATCCTGCTTGACGTCCAACAGAAGGACAAAAAGAGACAATTTATATTTTGCACCAGATCCTTTTCTCCTCTGGGCAGATGAAGACAGCTGGTCAGTTGCAGTGTTATGTGTCCTCAGGCCCTTCAGCATAAGAAGGGGGCAATCTGTCAGGACAGGTCCAGCCACGTCCCACAGGTTCCATAGACTAATTTCAGTTTCTGTGACCATTCCCAAAGCAGGAGCTTTAACTAACCCAACTAACTAAGTTATTATCACAGGAAAGACCTGATTGTACCATCATCTTTTTTTTTTATTTGTCCTGTTTTCAGCTCCTACACTCTGCACTGAATATAGTGAAATTCTCATAGACCTCACTTTAGAGCACACACAGGCATTTCACATTTAATTAATGTCAATACAGTTTGTTGTTTGTCATATCAAAGACAAATATAACTGCTCATCAGTTTCACCTCATGAGGACCACATTATAAAGGCTGAGGTCTGAGATTAGAGCCTGTGAACAGTGAGATCCCCACCCTGTGGTAAATCTGAGAAATACCATCACTCAGCCTCGGCTGCAGCCGTCGTTCTGTGCAAAAAGTTTTGTTGCTGCTGTCCTGTTTTAACTATTGAGTTTGGATTCTGACCCATCTGTTGAAAGCACGTTGGTCACCTCTGATGGGATTTGATTGTCTGCTGGTCAGTCTTAACAACTAATTAGATTCCTCTGGCTTAAACAGCTTATAGTAAACATTTTATACATTTACAATTGGATTAATGACTTATTTGTGGATCAAACACTAACGCTATACACGGTTTCTGTGTTTTAATAAGAGATTTTTGCATGAAAGCATCAATGACAATGTGTGGTTGTTGTTGGCATGTCACTGTTGATCCACCTTCAGGATTTCTCTTCCATGTTTTTCTGTTTATGTTCGCGTTTATCTTTCAAATAATGATGATGATTTGTGCCATCATGGTGTGGGTCAGATGTTCCTATAACTGTTTATCAGACACTTGTAACAATGGGAATCTACTTATTTTCCAAAATAAATACATAACAGCAGAAAAACGGCATGGCAACTTCAAGAAACTCCTTCAGTTTAGCTAATTAAAAAAACAGGTATAAGTACCAGGTAGTACGGAAATCACTAGTGTTGTGCTGAAAGATGAAAATGGCTAGAGCAGTAATCCTCTCCATAAAGCTGTTGTAAGTGGGATGAGCTAAGCACAGGAGCTGAACACACAGTGTCTCTGTGAAGACTCTGTGAAGACTCCTCCTCTCAGTTTTATGTCATCACGACAATATGTGGGATGGAAATGGGTAAAGTACCTCTATTTACAGGCCCAGGAGAAAAGTGTGACCTCTCGGCTGCTCGGAAAACACAGTAGGAGTGTTAGAAGAAGTCAGAACTCGAGGAAGTCAATACTCTTCCACAAGAAGCCACGGAGCTGTGACATAGAGAGATTTACAGCTGTTTGAATACCCTCTATGGTAAGTGTATATTCTTTATGTTGATATATCAGTGTCAGTTAGTTTGTCATAGTGATTGTACATACATTATGATTATGGATGCTGCAGTTCTCTCTGGTTTTCTTCTGTTTAATGAAACTGAGCTGGCCTCACATGTCTGTACTCAAAGATTCTTGAACGTTTATCATATGAAGTAATGCTTTCTTGTACAACACATACATAACAGGTAATGATTGGGTCGTGAAAATGTTTGGAAAACCACTGTCAGTGCACCCCTTTATAGATGTCAAATATTCCTAAATCACAGTTCTGTTGTTTTGATTTCACAGAAACACTTATGTTGTACTGTACACCTTTGTTTGTGATGAAGTGCCCAATATATGTCAGTTTGAAAAACACGCACAAAGAAAAAATACTGTATTCATTAATTTGTTTGTTTTTAGCCATTTTGGCCTCAGAGAGTCAAAACACGAGTTGACCAGGGCCACATGTGACTGGGGTTATTCTGAGTTGGTTTGTTCCTCATTTAGCTCCCCTGTATGTTCAACAGGGGTTTTAGATGCTGATCCAGTTACTCAACAGTAAAGGCACGCTGAGCTCATATGGCCACGCCCACTCCATGACACACAGATAACACAATCATAATCCCTGACTGACAGACTCAGCCTTTGTCAATGTGTCAGAAAGCTAACTTTTGATCTGTCAGATCTGAGGCCTTACATATCCAGTATGTTGTGATTCACCAACAACTTTGCTCCTACAGTGAGGACATGATTTTAACTTGGCATTATGTGTAATTACGGAGAGCTTTCCAGGGAGGAAAAATTCATCCTTGCTGAGTTTCCATCTCTAAAGCACACCTGATTGCACCTTTGTTGCTATAGACAACATCCAGTAGTTTCTGCCCAACTGGTTACTATTTTCTATTCTATTTTCTTGTGTAGATGTAGCCAAAGGACACAGTACCATCTCACCTGTTCTGTTGTTGGAAGATGGCCACTGCAGCAGAGGACCCCCACCTGGGCTCAGGCCCCGATGAGGACGACGTGTCTCTGTCAGGGGGCGAGTCCGATTCGGACAGCATCCTCTCTGATGACTCAGTGCTTCCAGACTACGGGCCGGAGACGACTAATGGGCGTGCAGCATCAACACTGTATCAAGCATGCGCCCGTAACGAACCTTTCTCTCTGCGTAAAGTTCTGGAGAGAGGGGTCACAAAAGAAGAGGTCATGGAGCTGGACATCAACAGCTGGGTGAGAGTCTAATTCATGATTGTAATAATTCACACACAAGCTTTGGCACGATGTGATATCTTATGGTATTGTCACTGATCCTTATCATTGGCTATTACTAACAGAATGGCTTGATGGTGGCCTGCTGCAAAGGTTTCGTGGACATTGTATATGGGCTTCACAACTGTCCCTTTATAGACATAAACCACCAGGACAACGAAGGCAACACTGCACTGATGATTGCAGCCCAAGCAGGTAAGTTGCACCTACACACAGGACATTAACACAAAATTTTACTTAATGCATACAGTAAAGGTTAAGTTTAGTAGCTAAAGCAATAAAGTGCAACACAAATGACTGAACAGCCTCAAAAATGTTGTAATGAAATAGTGGTAATAATCATCTATAGCATTATGTGACTTATATAGACTGAGAACTGTAAAGCTTTAATAATTTAATTTGATCTAGATGAACCAACCAATCCCACATAATATCTTCATCTGAGCAGCAGAGCCAGTTTTCAAATGTTACACATCTTCTGACACAATGCTGATCTATCTCTCCATCTCTCCAGGTCATATCAACACAGTCATGTATCTCCTAAACTACTATTCTGGTATAGACACGGAAATAAAGGATTGTCGTGGTTTCACGGCCCTCATCAAAGCTGCTATGACCGGCCGCAATGACGTCGTGGCTGCCCTCGTAATGGCTGGTACGTGAGAGCAGGGTACAGCTGTGAACTTTTCTGGCATAAATGCTATCAATGATACATTACTTTCTTTGATGCACATCGTAAATACTGATTAATAAATTAAGGCACAATATATCCTCTTAAATATTTAAGAGAATTTAAGGTACACAGAGGGCCCCATTTTAACACAATTCTGGCTTATTAACCCACCGGTGAAATAACCTTTGACTTTTGACAATGATGTACCCATATAGAAGCTGCTGTACTATGATATTAATAGATCTTTTTTTTTGAAACCCTGACATTAGCTCATTAACCAGGACTCCTATAGCTCAAAATGAACAGTTGCAGCACTGGTGGTGAGAATAGCTGACCTCATGGTTTATCTGTCCATATTTGAAGCCTGCTAACTCTGTTTGCGAGTGAATGTGCCAGTGACGCCAGACCGGTTTAAGGGATCATTCTGAGGTCATTATCCAATCTTAACACAACCCCCAGTAATCACTGATTTACTAGTCTTGCAGGCTGGTTGTAGATTAGCCACTTGCAGAGCTATTTTTAGACTGCACACGTTTCCTAAAGTCTCTGCAACTCATAATTTATTGTTCAACATTGCAGCTATGGCTGGACAATATGACCTGTAGCATGATAAATTGTGACATTTACAGCAATAACAATATACGTATGTATAAATTTGGCAGCCCAGTACAGCCCAGTCCAGCTGGACTTTTGGACTATACTGTGGATTTTTTGGACTGTTGGTTGAACTCTTAATTAGAAGTCCCTGCATGCTAGTTTATCGGCGAGGCTTACAAGGATATTTCCCTGTAAACTAGAATGAAGCCATTGTTAATGTTATTAATGACACCTGTTCTTTTCCTGCTATGGCAAGCCCATTGGTCAGCCATGAGAAAGGCCAAAGGGCTCCCCGAATCACTTTAGAAAAAGAAGCTGAAAAGAAGAAGCTTATTCACTTTTAAATTAAAATGAACCCTTGTTTTTTCCAGGGGCTGACATTAATGCAGTAGACTCTACAAAAGGAAAATGTGCTCGGGACTGGGCACTGAAAACAGGTCGTTATGAGACCTTGCATCGCCTCCGCCGCCTGAATATGCGACCGAAAGCTGAGCAGTTCTGTGAGAGTTATGTCCCTGAGTGGCCTGAGCTCAAGGAGAAGGTAGCCAAGGCCATAGCTGAGAAAAGCGCAAGGGAAAAACTTACCCAGCATATAAAAAATACCTTTGGATTCAGAATTCCTCGTGACCCACAAGACAACGGGGTCTTTGACCACATGGTGCGCATGACCACAAGCATCCATAGTCCACTAATTTCAACTGGATGCCGTCCACTCTGCCCAACAAGCCCTCCAGAGGTGGGGAAGAGGCGGCTGGCTGTACCGGAGCTGGTGAAGAAACACTCAGATAAGGAGCTAGAAGAGAGCTCGGTATGCCACAGCAACGGCTCCGTGTCACACATCATTCCCACAATCCACTCTGCAGAGTCCATTGCTACCAGGTGCTGCACCGACACAGAGCGGCGAGGAAGCATCCTCTCACTGGCCTCCACCAAAGTCGCTACTACATTTATTCCCCGCAGTATGGCGAGAAGGAACAGCGTGTTCCCCTCTGGCTGCATCCCCCAGATCAACATCAGCAGGCCTACAGAGGCAACGCCAAAGAAAGAAAAGAAGAAAAAGAAGAAGAAGGAAAAGGGATTCCTGGAACCACCCAAGTGGAAGTACAAGGAGATCAAGGATGAGAAAAAGAGGGAAAAGAAAAAGGCTGAGAAAGATAAAGCAGAGAAAGAAAAGGAGAAAAAAAAGGAAAAAGAAAGCAAGACGGCAAAAAAATAGTTGGTTGAAGAAAGGGCTCTTGGGAGATGGTAAATGGACTTGCACTTACAGTATATAGCCCTTTTCCAGTCTTACTGACCACTCAAAGCGCTTTACAATGCTTGCGCATTCACCCACTCACACACACATTCATACATCACACTGATGGAACAGCCATCAAGGGCAAATTGGGTTTTGCTATCTTGCCCAATGACACTTTCACATGCGGACTGGAGGAGCCGGGGATCAAACCAACCACTCTTTCTAACTAGTATACGACCTGCTCTACCTCCTGAGCCACAACCACTGCCAGCCCCCACCCCAACCCCCCCACACAGGCACAGCTCTTCTGCTTGAGAACTATATGTTTTTGAAAATGTGTTCAACTCAGGGACTGAAACTGAAACCAAATATCTTGGAAACATTCAGCGAATACTGACCATATAACCTAAAGGGGAAATAGGTACAAGAGGAAATATTTTTTCCTTCGTATGACTGACTGACAGAAGACCTCAAATGAGAACTGTAAAGACTCTTCAGGAGGATTTTTGAAGCTTTTAGTCTGTCTAAAAGTTTTGACAAATATTACATATATTTTGAGATAGAATAGAGAATAAAGTTTATTTTTCCATTAATATATTCAAAATTTATAGAAATAAAAAAGACGATGATTATGATACAATGCATAAAATCCCTGTTTACCGATTCAGGTGCAAAAGCATTTCTAGTATCTACCTCATTGTTCAAATAAAACACAGAAAGGTAGACACATACTGTTTGTATACCTGCATATCCAAAAGTCAAATTTATCCCAGATGTTAATTTAGAAACATATAGCTATTCCATAGCCCATTTGTGTTCTTATATAATATTGTTGTCTTTGTTGAATTTGTTGTAAGTTAACTTTTGTAAATAGGCCAAAATCACTTGTAAATACTGCAAACATGCATCAACATGGAGGATCTGCTCAATCCTCTCACTCAGTTCATTCAAGTTTTATTGCCATTTTCTTATACTGCCAATTCATATGATGTATTCTGCTTTTATTAACTCTATGAGTGCATGGATTCAGTTTGCTTAAAATTACTAATAAATATAGGACAGTGAAAAATTAGCAGTTCGTTAATCAGTTTTGAAGCTGCAATGGTCAATATTTTTACACTAACAGTAGATCAAATGGGGGCACCCCGTTAGCTCACCTCACCTGTATACCATTAAGGCCGAGTCCTTGTCACAGCTGCATGAGATCAAATCTGGCCCAGGTCCTTTGCTGCATGTTATCCCATGTCTCTCTTTCCCCTAACTTTGCTGTCTCTCTTGCACTCTCTCCACTTCTCTATCACAATAAAGGCACAAATGAACCCCCCAAAAATGACTTAAAATTAAAAAAAACAAATGATCAAATCAAAGTATAATGGGAAAGGTGTAATTTGTCATGATGGAGGCAGAAAGAAGTAAACTGACAACTGAGTGTATATTTTGTAAAGTGACCTGTATGCCAATATTGAACTTTCAGCTTGTTCTGCTGTCACCCAAAGTGGCAAAAAAAAAACAAACAGTGAATACAGCTTTAATGTCTAAAGGCTGATGGCCAATCAAAGACCACAACTGAAGACAACAATCCTCAATCAATGTGTATGTGGAGCTGGAGGCAATGAAAGAGCAATCAAATGTACTGACAAAAATATATTTATATATTTTGCAGAAACAGCCTTTTCTCCATTCCTCTAATTAATAAATCTTGAGAATGATCTCAAAGCAATAAAAGCCTAAGGAGAAGGAGCCAGGACCTGGTGTTGACAAAAGGCCAACTGTGACTGGCCTCTGTGTCCTAATAAACATATTTTGTCACATTATATTTCTCTCAAAGCATCCATTCTGCCATATTCATGACTATAACCACATGGTGTTGACCTTTAACCTAGCTATTTGAATGGATGTAGGGATGGCCAGATAAGATTAGGATAGATAGATAGATAGATAGATAGATAGATAGATAGATAGATAGATAGATAGATAGATAGATAGATAGATAGATAGATAGATAGATACTCACCTCTTTAATCTCCACTCTGTGTATGTGCCTGTGCTGCAGCCTGCTGGTGGAGCATGTTAGTAAACTGACAGCCTGGTTAGCTGTCATCGTCTCGCCTCGCCACATCTAACGTTGGCTAACTGAACGTGTTAATGCGATGAGCCGGGAATTTATTGACCATGGCTAACCTACGGATTTCGTTAGCCGTCGCGGTCGTCCAGGCTGTCCTGTACAAAAGCTCCGAGGGTGAGTAACTTATTGTTTGCTTTGTTCATGAAGACGCTCGGGCCGCTGACAGCATCAAGGCGAACGGATGTGGAGTTAGCTGCGAGCTAACGTCAGCTAGGCTGGCTAGCCTAGACGAACACAATTCAGTTGAGCCATAGATATGAAACCAGGTCAGCTCTCATTTATGTAGACCTGGGGACTATTTAAATATCTTTCATGTTCATGTAACAAAACAGTATATCCCACCGTCTCCCTGTTGCTGTCGAGCTAGTTAAGCTAGTCTGAAACAGCAGTTAAACGTGTGTTCAGGTAGCATGGACTGACAGTTCAGTGAATTATTTTGCTGTCAACAGAGACAGTCTTGCTCAGTTTTGGAGCTGTTTATTCCCTCTACAACCTGTACCCCAGTATTTTATAAGCATTTAATTACCTTTCTGCAACAATCTAATAATATTATTCAGATACATTTAACGTGTAGCTAGTTAGATAATGATACCATAAAGGTATTACTGTATATATCAAGGTTTTTAAAGTGCTCAAATGTTAACGTAGAGTGGATGTACTCAAATTACTTGAAGGCAGAAATGAGTAATCTCATGTTTACAATATCCAGGCACATATATGGAGATTGCACACTTTTTACAATGTTGCTACATTGATAGATAATACACAGATTTTAATACTGTAAATAAAACAAAGTTTAGGATTATGAGACATTAGGTAATTTCAGTAGCCTATTACTTTTTTTATTTTTTTTATTCCACTTTTGTGTATAGTAGAATGTATTCAACAGCAGGTTGATAATATGTATTTGATGGGGTAAAGCAGGACTGGGTGATATGTATAAGATCATTTAAATCCTTTAAAAAGTTGTTCATCACATTGATACAAAAATGTTGTAAATCAAGTACTGGCATAAATAAGTTCAGGGCTACAACTAACAATTATTTCCAATACCATTTAAATTGCAGTTCATCTTCATAATGAAGGTGTTCATTTTATTTCCATTTATTGTCAGAAAATAGTGAATTTAGTCCATTAGGTTTGCTTCATTCAGCCAACAGACTACAAATGCAAGGTTGTTCAGTTTATCATTGATACAGAGAAAAGCAGCAAATCCTCACATTTGAGAGGCTGAAACCAGAGAATATTTTGTGTTGCCTTGATAATGATAGAAAGGATTAGGATTTTTCTATTGACCGACTGATTGAAAAGATTTGTCGACAAACAGAAAAAGAGATAAGTAATGGAAGAGTTGTCATAGTATAAATTGTTGTTAAATTTCTGTCATTATAAGGTAGATATCAACAATTCACCCATCTCTATGACAAAGTGATGTTTAGAAAACTGGACACTGTTCTTCTTCTGGTATTGCAACCTGTGAAATAGTGCTAGGGGCACATCATAACTATACAGCGTATTCCTTTACGCCCCCACACAGTGCAAGGTTGTGGTGTCTCGATTCTGTTCCTGTTGATGTCGTCAAAACCATGGGACATAAACTTGTTGCTTATGTTGTAAAACACACTGACACGAAACATAGCCAGTCAATCCTGCTGTGTACTGGTTGAAAACAGAAAAGTGTGTAGGGTAGCGAAGATGACCCACTGCTCAAGCAGCTGAATTCCAGTGGCGATATGAGCTGCTGTGAACTTCTCAAGGAAACATTTTTTCCACTCTGATTTATTATTATTATACATTTGTAATGTTTTCAAGATGAACATGCAGAAACCTCTTTTTTACTGTTGCCTTTTATCATGGTCAAACCGCATTATGTTTTGATAATTTCCATCCATAATACTTGTTTCTTCTCTGAGGACTCTTTTGTGGTTTTAAAACAATCAGCCCAATGTGGATTAAAGCTGTGACTTTATAGCCATGGAAAGTCTGAAATGTCAATCCTATTTCATGTTTAGTCAGCATGTCTTCCTTATTTCCTTATTTCTTCTGTGGCTGTTTTTGTTGCTGGTATTTAACCACCAGCATCTGCTAAGTAGGTGTTGGCATTGTGTGAGTCAGTACCACGAAACATGTTGTAATGTATTAACTCTATATTTCCTCGGTTTGACGTAGATAATGCTGAAGTTCAGCTGCATGTGTGTGGGTTTACAAGCAAACACATCTAACACACAGGCTCTACCAAGGTCATTTTCTGCTGAGAATCCACTGGGGGCATTTTCTGAATTACTGGAATGTCACATCATGTCTGTGTCTTAATAACATTACTCAATTTCACAGAGGAAGTCTCGGTCTCTTGTTAGTCTAATGACTGTCACAGCTGGTCATTTAATCTCTACCCCTACATGCCCTCACATAAACTCTCTCCACCCATCCTCCCAAAACCCCTGCCATCCTAACACACCCCAGCCCACCCCCTAACACTTCCTCTACTTCCTGACTTCGCCAAACCCATCCTCCCTCTCTCTGTCCGTGTGTAGTTCATCTTTGCAAAATGTCACTCATCTGAATTTTTTCCCTCAATACTTGAAATATTTAAGGGTCTTTGCTACAAAATTCTCCTGAACCTTGTCGAGTTGCCACCTCACACAAGTTTCCCACAAATCAAACCTTCCCTTTTGCAGTTATCTTTATTGGTGACCAAAAAGTGAGATGTCACGTGCCTCACTGACAAAGTAAACTATCACTAGCATTGTCCTTAATGTTTTTAGGCTTTTTGTAAGGCTGCACATTGTTTGTAAGGTGTCATGCACGCTGAAGCTATGTCCTAAATCCATACTACATACTAATGCTATAATGC